GACAAATTCAAGTCTACAAGACTACAACTCGGGTATGGCGCTAAATTATCCGGCCGTATACTGTGACCACCTTGTCGGAGAGAAATATCAGGTCTGTGTGGTTGTGAAAAATTGTTTTTATTTTCTAAGAAAATGTTTTCAGAAAATAGAGTTGAATTTTCATTTTCAATTTTCAATAAAATTTTAGAAAACACGTTTGGTTGGAACCGACAGTTTTCATTTTCATCTTAAAAATTTTGAAAACTTTAGAAAACTGTAAAAATCATTTTTCTAATTTGCATACAATTTGGAAAAATGAATTTTTTTTATTTTCTTAGAAAACTTTGGAAAACTAAACAAATCAAACGTGTTTTCAAAAAAAAAATTCTAGGAAAATTTTTCAGTTTTCTAGAAAAAATTTCCAAGAAAAAATGAAATTTTAAAAACGCATTTGGTTTTTTAGTTTTCCAAAGTTTCTAAGAAAATGATAATTTTCAGTTTTCCAAATTGTATATAAATAAGAAAAGTGATGTTTACGGTTATTCAAATTTCCAAAATGGAAAATGAAAACTCTATCGGTTCCAACCAAACTTGTTTTCTAAAATTTTCATTGAAAATCAAAAATGAACACTCAACTCTATTTTTTGAAAACATATTCTTAGAAAATGAAAACAGTTTTTCATAACTAAACTTACCCTAAGGTTTTTGCACAAATACGTTTTGCAATTTATTTTTTCAAAGATGATATTTGCAGGGAAAAAAAATTGTCAGCTTGTGGTTTTGGTGATTTTGCACATGACTGGACTTTTTGCTAATGCCTTGTGCGGAAAGTAGGGGTGAGCATAAAAACCGAACCAAAACAAAATTAACCGATATAACCGAACCATTTTAAAAACCGTTGGTTCGGTTTCTAATTTTTGTTAACCGATAACTAACGGTTCGATTATGGTTTTATAGGTTAACCGCACCATTATTCACCGAACCGCTAACTTTATGTTTTAATATAAATAAAAATTATTGTTTATATATAAAATAATATAGTCAAACTTATTTAAGATCCATTAAAATTTTGAAAATATAATCCATTATTTCTCACTTATCAGGAGACGAACGAGCAATCAAACCATCAAAAGGTGATCACATAGACACACACAATCTTCTAATCATTCATTGAGTTAGATTATTGATTAATGTTGTAATTCCTAATTGGCTAATTCTACAATTTGTAAACATTATTCACAATTAGTTTAATCTTCACACTCATAATCCTAATCGAAGGTTTCTCACACCGTTAATCCTAATCAAAAATTGTTTGGACTTTATAGTTCTATTCGATGGATTTTTTGACTTTATAATCAAGACTTCTAGGTAAGTTAAGTTTTTGGTTCTTCTTGACTCTGTGATATATTAAGAATGTATTTTTTTTGAATTTTTTTATTTACTGTTTTTGACTTAAACTCATTGAATGTATATGATAATATGAGTGATTGGCTTTTTTTTAATCCAGTAACACATAATATGATTGTTTGGCTCTTTTATTTTATAGTTTTGATTTAATCGTATTGAACGTGTATAAATGTTTGGCTTTATTTTAATATTAATATCAATTATCAATATATGATATTATTAATGTCAACTTTTTTTAATGTTTTATATTTTTATTGAATGTTTTTATTTTGAATGTGACTATGTGTTATTTCACTCTAAGTATGAAAGGTACACATTTTATTCTATTACTATAAGTTAGGTTAAAACATCGGCGTCGAGGACTTTTTGGTATTCTATTTTCATTTTTTATGCCAATATACTTTCGTCGTTTATATTATTTTGAACATTATGGTTAACGAATATTAACCATTAACCAAAATCGTTAACCGATAAAAACCATTAACCATAATCAATATTAACCATACCCAATGGCTACCAAAATCCATTAACCAATCATAATAGTTATGGTTCGGTTTTAACCAATAACCGAACCAAACCGCCCCATACACACCCCTAGCGGAAAGGGCAGCGTATGTAGGTGATTTGGCAAAATTTATCTTATTTATGAGAAATTGTCAGCAAAACTAGCTAGTAGCTAGAAACTTGTAGTTAATAATTGTAACTTTTATTTGTTATATAAATATTTGATAAAAATATTCAAAAATTTTGAAATGTTTAAAATGACACAAGTTACTCTTATTAAGGGTAATTTTGAAATTGCTTAAAGCTTAAACGTTTTATGAATTAGTTTTTAGGTTAAATGATTTTTACTCAAACTAAAAAGCTACAAAATTAAGTTTTTTGTTAATAACTAGAAGCTGTCAAAAGCCTCTTGCTGCTAATTTTAATTTAAGGTGGTGTTTGTTTTTCTGCAAAAACACTTCTTGACCTCTTATGTCTGCGCCGTGCAGACAGCGCGCAAACGTTTGGTCTCGCAGACTGTTTGTTTTTTAGAATACTGCAGACCTAAAAAGGTTTGCGCGTCGTCTTCTTGGCGCAGATATGGACATATGTCTTCTAACATCTTCTAGCATTTTTTACCTCTTCCACAATATGTATTTAACTTTTAATAAAGAAAATATATTTTTTTGTAATTATTAATGTCGTTTTTCATTTTGTATACTTTTTTCCTCCTCTTTTTTTTTATGTATTTATTTGTTACTTTGTTTATTGTTTTTTTATATCTTAATTGTGTATTAACCAAAATGTTTATGTTTTTATTAGGGTAAATGACATTGTAGCCCTATAATGTTTTGGGTTTTGGTCGAATCAGTCTCTTAACTTAATTTCTTGTTTTTTAAGGGAATAAAGTCCATTTTATCGGGTCTTTTTGGCCATTTCGTAAAATATGAAGGGGTAAACCGATTATCCCTTGCCACCTGGTTAAATGAATTATCAAATATGTTTTCCAGCTCATTTTCACCTTATTACTCCATTTATTATCTTCTGTTATTGTCTTTGATTGGGTCCATCGTCCTTATCTCAAAAAAGAACACTATCTCCCCTGAAAAATTCCCTCCACCCTCGACAACTCCGCCTATCAAAATTGTTTCTTCAACAAATCCAAATATGTGTTCCACTTCCTATATCTCCAACCTCCATAAACCTAAAAAAGAATCGAACGACATGGAGCCACATTTGAAACCTCCACATTTCATGTCGGACTGGCGGCGGTGGTTGCAGATTGCCTTCGACGCCTCCCTTGATTGTTCACCATCATCGATGATGTTTAGGTCTCTAAGTTGTTTCTCAATCCATGCATCACAATTCTCCAATAGGAGGAGATATCTTTAATGAGGTCGTGTTAGGGTCCGTAGGGATCCACCACACTCCTCGGCCTCTTGACCATCGCCGACCTTTAGACCAGCATCAATCTTGCAAACTCCATGATGAAGCATTTAGTTTGTGATTAGTTTTCTCATCATATTTTAAGCAAATATATGATCATATGAGGTTTGTGCTAAGTATATTCTAATTTGTAATTTTGATTTGAGGTTTGAATTGCATATATGAGGTTTGTTTTAGTTTGATTTTGAGTTTGTACCGATAGTGGTTGTCGGAGGTGAATTGGGTGCCAGTAGGGTGTGTCTGTAATGTTTTTCTTGTGTATTGAAGCACTATCGACTTCATAATTCTCGTATTATTTGTGCATGTGTGTGTGTCTGTAATGTTTCTTTTTGTATTTGCTTTTGAACTTGAAATCAAGGGAAGTCTGTAAGTGTGTTTTTATAGAAAATCTTCGAAACAGTAGCGTTATTATTTGCTTGAAGGAAGATTAAGACAATTTGTGTTGTAATTTCTAGGTCTTTTATTACGAACAGATGCAAATGGTAAAAGCTCAAAAACAGGGGAGATCAGCATGTCTGAGAACAAAAGCGGCTAAACGGTTGTAACAATTTCCAGTGGAGAGAGGGGGGGGGGGGGTTAAACTCATGACGTGATGATCGAAGCTTGATAGTTGATAAGTCGGTGTGTAAACAGTAATGGTGTATGTATGTTTATATGTTCCATTCTACAGTTCTTTAATTTTGACTTACAAGCCACGTCATCTTCGATTGATTGTTTGGAAGATAGAACCGGTTATTCCAAGTTAAGGGACCAAATAAACAGGTCAAACATACATTTTATTCCCTTAAAAAGCAATAAATTAAGTTAAGGGACTGATTCGATCAAAACCCAAAACATTATAGGGCTAAAGTGTCATTTACCCTTTTTATTATGTACATGTTTTTCTATTCAAATAATATATTTATCCAAATAATTTTGACATAGTTTTATAGATATTTTATTTTTGTGCAATGTAAGTAAATCTTGTAACTTTTTTTTTATTATTATTTAGGATGGAAATAATATCATCGATTAATTAGTTCATATATATAATATCAAAAATCTTAATGAAGTTTTATTTTTCAGTTATCATAATTTATACCACATTAATAATTAAGTTCATTTAATTTTTTGATTATTGAATCCCAACATAGTTTTAGCCCTTCGAATCATCACATCGTCTAATTTTTTATCGGTTCGGATTTTGATCACCTCAAACTATATTTGTGAATTAGTTGTATGCTTAATTTGATCCCTTAAGTTATAGTTGTTGAAAATTTTAGTTTTTTTTGTAATTATTTTATGTTTAAAAAATCTGGTATATCTAAATCTCAGTTGCAGAGGTTAGCAGATGTGATCCGCAGACTGCATATATTTTGATTCCTGATTCCGAAAAAACAAACTAACACCTAACTAAAACTAGAAAGTATTATAGATTTAGAAGTCGGACAGAATCATCAGGTTACCTTCTTTTTGTTAGCCGATAATAATAAGATAATAATTTTTTTCAGCGGCAAAAATACTTTTAATTGTTTTTATCACTGCCTAATTGATTAATGTCAATACTTCAAATATACATTATGTTAAATGATTTATGTCTGTATTATAAAAAGCTTAACTTATGTTTTTTTTTAAATAAAATGAAAAATTCAAGTTTACCACATAATATAATAAAATACCATGACTAAAAGAAATGTCTTGTAACATTAAAAATTAAAAATGAGAAATACTTGATCCAAAAGAGAGGTAGGTAATGCCAGAAAATTTAAAAACCTAAAATATGGAAAATGTCCAACATGACATCGTCAACTCCAACCCAAAACCATGATCTCGCCTTAACAAAAATCCAATCTCGAAAAACACAAACACAAATTTCTTTCAAAGACTTCTTCTACCCTAAATTACGCATTTGACCTCCCAAAATCTCAAACATTTAGTAGAAGAAACCAAGCACTTTACCACCAACATTCTTCCTCCTTGCTTCTTCATGGTCCATAATTCCAGCAGATGTAGTCAAAACAATGTACCCAAACTGCACATTTTAACATTTCTTATTTATTTATTAATTAAGAGAAAAAATAATTATAAACAGTTCGCACTGTGTTTGACATGACATAACAGATTGCCATTGTATATTGACATGACCACTGTTGACAAGACAAAAGCGGTACTAGAAAAAAAAAGTGTGAGATGATTTTCTCTTTATCTCTCATTTGTGTAAAATGACAAAAATGCCCTTGAAAAAATAAAATCAAACCTGTCTTGAAGGAAGAAGTCTAGCAGTCCATGGCTCAATTTCTTTGACACCAACATCAAATCGGGGACTGATGACGCCACATTTGTTCAAGCGACCATTGAGTTCAACCACAATCTTTCCTGATCTATGGTCATCAACATACTCAAACTCACCGATATAGCCTGCAAGGTTTTAAGGGTAAAAATGTCATTTGCAAATAAGATGATTGGAATTGTTGAAAGAAAAGAGAGATAAGAGCAAACCATGCTTTTGCATAACCATAAGGAACTTGATGATAACTTTTGAAGAAGGCCTGATCATGACCTGTCTCTTCCCCCTTTTCTCAGCATTGTACATGCTCTTGAGAGCATCATTCAACACGCTAACTCTCACCATCCTCACAAAATCAAGATGCTGCAAGAATGGAACACCAACAATACATAATTATATAAACGAATGCAACAATATCTGCAACTTATTGTGATCTTATAAGCACTAGCCTTTGAGGCATTCAGATAAAGCAGTGACTACATGCAATCTACTTACAATTGTGTCGTTGTTTAAAGCTAGAACAAAGCTAATTTCATCTTAGTAATATGATGTATACAAACAAATTCCAGAAAATATTCAAGTCAAGAGCAGAAAAGTCTATTATGTAATCAGAAACTAGTCTTCTTAGGGCATAGATAAGTCAAAAAATAGTTTGTTAACATGTATCACAAATAATAATACATCATTTCTGAAGGTTTTCATAAAATTTTGAGGTACTATATCGACAGCGAAAATTCAGGCCTTTGAAATCAGCTCGCATAAAACTAACACTCGGCGTATGATATTAGCAAATATTTTTTTCCTGTACAAAAAATGAGCTGTATACATACATTGCGATGAGATCAAACTATCGTATTACTATAATCAGACATGAATTGGAGATCAAATTATGTTCAAACTATAGACAGACATTACGATCAGATCAAACAATATTCAACATAAACGAATCAATACACGATCCAGTCGAAAAAAAATAGTTTCGAAAACCTCCAACACTGATTCTAATCAGAATATAACACTATCTAGCGAAAAATCAAATGATTAGACAATCAAACGGCAGATAACCACAGTTATGATCTACTTTTGAGGGTGTTCTTGCGAATGCTTATCGGATAAAGTGGAAATCAGGGTTACCTCGGAGCAAAGAACGGCCGCCGCGACTGCTGAGAAAGGAAGGGATACAGAGACTGAGAAATAAGTTAGGGTTTCGGGTTTTATAGAAAATTCATAAGTTACTAAATGATCCCCTCCTCTCTTACTAGTTTCTAAAATTTACTCTTATATATATTTTAGATCAAATACAAAATGCCCCCTCAATTTTCAGATTTAGACCAACAATCATGGCACGAGAAAATAAAATTCTCTTTAATAAATAAAAGTTTTTTTTTTCACTTATTACACATTCACTTAATTTGTAAATTTTTATGGTATTTTGAATTAATTTTTTTTTCTACATGTCATTTTATCAAATTTTCTATTTTATTAAATTTCACATAATATTTTAATGTAATAATTACAATAAATGTAGTAATAAATAAATATCAATTTCATTAATAAACTTAGCTTTTAATTTTAAAATTCTCAAAATTAAAGTTCATTAATTTAAATTATTTGTTTAAATTTAAATGATAAAAAATATTTTCATTATAATAATTCATTATTTTTTATTTTCTTATAAATTCAAAGTTCTCAAATATTTTGATCTTTCCATTTAACTTTTTTTGTAAATTAAGACATGTAATACATGGGTCTCACAACTAGTGGTCAATATAAACATAAATGCTTTGACTTTGAAAAAGTTATTACATAAACTTTAGCTTATATTCTCAAAATTATTTTATGAAACATTAACTAATACAAAAAATACTTGACCCTTTCAAACTGATGGATATCCTAAAATAACAACAAGCTTGTTCACTATGAGTTATCATTTTTTTTAATAAATGGCTTATAGGCTAGCGGTATCAAATATTGTCTTTTATTTAGATAATTTCACTTTTTTATTTTTTAATAAAGAAGAAAGTGTTACATATACGTATTGGATAAACGAGCAACAAGTTGTGTCGCAACCCCTTCTTGGATGGCAAAGCTAGTTCTTTTAAAAACAACATTTATAGATCTTGGAGTCATAACATTACTATGCATGACCCGTTGGACTCTATTGAGTAGCTCCACATCTTCTGGTGCAAGGAAACCGAAATTATCAAATGCAAAGGGTATAAACGTGTGTTGATTTTCCATGCAATGTTTCTCATGTTTTGCCACTTTGCTTGATGTAGCTTTTAAAGCAGCTTGCCCCACAGTGAAAACCCCACTCCCCTAGCCCACAATATGGGAAACCTCTGTTAGATCCACGCATGCATGTTTTCCTCTAGCCCATCCAAATACTAAAACATCAGTTGGTCTAAGTGTTGATCTTCCTTCCAATGGGTCAGTCAGAAAGTTCACATCTCGTTGTGGACATATGTGAAATTAAGTGTTAGCTTAGGAGTAGATTAGGTTTGTCGGTTCAAAAAAATTATTGTTTTTATTTGAAATATTTTACCATTAATATATATATATATATATATATATATATATATATATATATATATATATATATATATATATATATATATATTGTTGTGACATGTTTGCAGATGGTTTGGCCGCTAAACAATAGACCTGACTTTGATGCTTGCCTGAGAACACAACCACAAAAGGATCGTTAAAGGACGACCGTGTGTTCTCCCGGAACGTCGCTCCGATGATCAAGTTAGTTTTTCTGAGAGAGATAGTAATTCTGAGGGTGATTTTTCTGAGGGAGAAGATGGATCCCTTCCTTGAGGCGGAAGAGATCATTTTGTACCTATTACTAACGGATCATGGGGATCGTGCCTCGTGAGCATGAAACGTGGCCTCCTCTTACTGGGAGAGCTATTCACGTTAACTAACTCTCAGGTGACGTCATTTCTGGGCGTTACCAGGGTTATTTGTTGCCTTCTCATTGGCTGTGAGCGAATGAGAATATCTCATGGAATGTTCTTACCACGTGATGAGAGATGAGTTGCTGCCCTGACCTAGGCTCGCTTAGACCAATGTCGTGCTTAGCTAAGGTAGTAACGTTTATGTTACATTTTCCGTTACACTTAACGTGCTCGTTAGGTAACGTTAACCAGTCCCTTAAACTAGTAGGCCTCTGCGTTCGTGACGTAGCTAAGTTGTTCTGGTCTACTCACAAATACGTGGTGGACTGCTATTGATAGCTTATGCTGATGGCAGGGCGAAATTGTCATTGATCGGTGGTTTCATCATAAAGACGGTTCGCTGCCCCTTTCTTTGTATTTAAGTCTCTGCCTTCCCTGGCGCATCTTCCCCACCTGCTACCTTACTTTCTTTACACTTCTTTTCGAAAGAAACCTTTTCATTTTATCCTCCAAATCTTTCCATGTCTACTTCTCTCACTTTAGGGAGGAATCTCACTGATGAAGAGTATGAATCTTTTCAATTCTGGTTCGGGTTTGTTTCTGAACATGGAGTGCAGATCCATTCCCCTTATGCTTCTTTGTACAGTCCTCGTCAGGGTAAATTCGGGATCCCAATCGCCCTGTTTGAGGCAGGTTTGTGCCTGCCTACCACTGATTTCTTCAACTTGATCATCCAGGAGTACGGGTTTTCGGTAAGAGAGTTGACCCCTATCGGTATCAACAAGATAGTGGCCTTTGAACTTCTTTGCTATGCCATAGGTCGTCAACCGAGGGTTCTGGCATTCAAGCACCTCTTCAACACTTCTACCCAATCCGGGACTCGAACCCTTTCTCGCCGGCGGGAAGTCCCTATTCTTATTCACGGCCATAAGTCCAAAGAAGAATTTGCAAGAAAAGTTATTGTGGGTGAATAATGATCTAGTGGTGCTTGGCTACTCGAGGGTTAAGGCGTATGTGGACCATGCTCCCGTGCTTTTTGGTGCTGATAAGGAGTTAGCCGACGCCTTGGAGAAGATCAGCATCAACGGCGAGGGTTGGCTCGACTGCTACTTGGTTGCCGGTGGAATGAGCACCGCTTGGAGAACTCGTGGGAAAACGCATGAGTTCTTTGTCGAGAAATAAGGTATAACACTCTTTTTACCTTATCCTCCCCCTCCCCCCTTTTAGCAAAATGCATTGAAAACGGCATTTTGGTTAACCGTTGCTGTTTTTATTTCCAGGTGGGGAGGAGATCATATCCCTGGAGAGGGCTCTTCAGGTTCTGTTTGAGGGTGACATTCAAGTTCGCGAAGTTGACCTTGTAGAAGCTCTTCCCCCTCCTATCTTTGGCCAAGGATTCAGGGATACACACGAGTCTCCCGTCGGCATTGGCGGTGCCGCTGGCGATGGTGCTGGTGGTGACGACGAGTCAGATCTCCAAGACGTCGTTGTCCCTATGGCAGAAAGTTGCCATCTTGGATGTCTTATTGGGTTCATGCATGAGTTAAGATCATTTTTATGAGAATAGAATGCCATGTTGGAGTTTGGGCTTATTAGGGTCATGTTAAGTCACCAAGCCAGTGACTTTATTGATTAAGACGTTGAATAGGACCCGTATCTGTGTTTATGGCCAGTGGAATGGAGTATTAAGCACTTAATGGGAAAAGTGACTTAACAATAGAGTACAATGGGCGTACATGCATGTACGCGCATCGTACATACCATACAACTTGTACGCTTAGCGTACAGAGGAGTACGCCCCACGTACTTATCATATATGAGCTTGGCATGTTTTGGGCCTTGGATTGGGCCATGCTTTGGATTTTGGGTCTTTAGGCCTTAGTCGGCCATCAGAAGTCAGATAATTTGGACCAAGAATATGTATGGGCTTAGGGTAAGGCCCGTTAGAGGGTTTGGGACCAATTTAGAAAATTAGGCCATTAGTGGGCTTGAGAAGCCTACCTAGTGTTGGGCCTTTTGTATTATGGTTTTGGGCCTTGGTTATGGACCAAGTTGGACTAGAGGTCAAATGGTCATTCTACCCTAAGGAGAATTATTGGTTTGGACTAATTGTTATTTTGGGTAATGGTAGCTCGGGGATTCGAGAGATCAGCAGTTCGGGGATCTGCCAGCTAGTAACGAGGGGTTATTCGCAGGATTTTACAGTCAACTTGTGAGGTGAGTTTTCTCCTATAGGAACGGGTATAAGGCACCAATGTCGGCCCGTTTATGTATGTTAGTGTATACCGGATTTAGATCCGATGTTGGGGTTAGCCCGATGTAGTTTTTATGCTTCCGGATTTCGGTCCGATGTCGGGCGGGGCCGAGGAAGGTTTACATGTATGTTCCGAACTACGGTTCGATGTCGGGTGGTACCCGAGGAAGGGATGCATGTTTAGTTATACTTGTTGTCTTTGTGATACTTGTATGTGCCTGGTAGGGAGATGAGTGTGGGCGGGGGCCCGTATCTCATCACTAGCTGAGTATGGATGGGGTTTCATGTCTCTTTAGTGGCATAGTAGGGGCGGGGCCCAAGATAGGTGGGGCCTTGAGACTAACAGTTATAGTGTTGTGTTGCTTATTATGTACTAGCTTGATTATGATTATATGTTTGCATGTGTATAGCGGGCAGGGCCCAAAGACAGGCGGGGCCTGGTAGAAACATATATGTATACCGAGCAGAGCTCGATGTCGGGCGGGGCCTGATGCCGGATGCGTCCGATGTCGGGCGGGGCCCGAGGTAGCGGGCTAGGCCCAATGTTTGCGGTATGTGATTACGTGTATGGTATGTGGTAGATTGGGGAGACCCACTAAGCTTCGTGCTTACAGTTTTCAGTTTGGGTTTCAGGTACTTCCAGTTGCAAAGAGAAGAGCTCGGGATGACTGCATTGCACACACCAAAATGTTTTAGCCTGGGATGTTTACTCTGATGTTTTGAAACTTTGATAACAATTTTTGAGATATTATAACTTATGTTTTGAGGAAATGGGTTGATAATTGTGGTTTTACTATTAAGTTAAAATGAAAATTTTGGACCGTATTATTGGGATGTTACATCTTAGCAATTAAAATGTAGAGTTCCACCCTGTTGGAGTTTCACCACACAAAAACCTTTGAGTTTCTACAACCGCATCCTTCATGGTTTGTTTAAAGGTCTTGATCCGTTGCAGGGAGTCTCTAATGTATTTCACCGCATCATGTATGCTTTTTAGATGGTAAACTTCGTGTTTTAACCCCATTTTCACAACTAGGTTTATGATATGAGTCATACACCTAATGTGAAAATGTTTGCCATTTTCGTAAATACCCGAAAGTTCTTTCACAATGATGTTGATTACCGCGTCATTCGTCTTGGTATTATCAACGGTCATCGTCATTACATTCTTCATGTCCCACTCATTTATGCAATTTAGCAACTCTCGGGCCATGTCTTCAGCTTTGTGAGTATCAACCTCTCTAAAGTTGACTACCCTTTTGTGCATGACAAAATCTTCGGTAATGAAATGGGTCGTGACAACCATATAATTTATCTATTGACACGAGGATGTCCACGTGTCGGTTGTCAAGTGGATGGCTGTTTTGGGGTTGCTCAAATGTCTGTACAACTTATGCTTATCCATTAAATAGAAGGACACAACATCATGAGAGATTTATGCCTTGAAGGCAATTTCACCCTACCATTGATGGCGTTTACAAATTCTATGAAGGTCTCGTTTTCAATGAATTTAAAGGGTAGTTCCCCAATGGTGAAAAGGCCTAGCACGACAAGTTGGATCCTCGTATCATCATGTTTCCATGTGTATACATGGCCCTCACCATTAAGAGCTTTCGTAAATGACAACATTTGTTGTTTGTCATCATCTTCATTCAGTTTGTTGTCCGGATTTAACTTGCAGCAAATAAAATGCTTGTTTATTGAAGTTGTCCCATTCCAGTTTGCATTCGCGACTAGTAATGTTAAACAATAATTACATTCGACCCACTTTCTTTCAATTCTATCTTCCTCCTTTATCCACTCTATCTCGAAGTAATCCCAAATAGGAGCGGTACAATTATCTCTACCCTCACCTCGTCTGGTTGGGTTAATCCGGTCCTTTAACTCCTTTTGAGTCATTTTTTTGTTCTTGGGTTTTGGTTTTGTTGGGTATTTTTGTTGTGTTCGCTTTTATGGTAGTGGTGGTTTTTTTGTTTGTGGTGGTGGTTTTTTTGTTTGTGTTGGTTTTGTTGGTTGTCTTCGTTTTTATGGGGTTGCAAATTTTTGTTTTTTTATGGTTGTTGTTCTAGTGGCTCATCTTCTTGGTGTGATTCGTCACTTGGTATAACATGCCATGCCAGTGTTTCTTCTATATAACCTTCTTCTGAATCTTCTCCATAACCCTATATTCTCAAAATAAAACATATAATTAATACATTGTTAAATTGATATTGAAACAAGAAAAGTAAGATTTGATATGTTTTTTTGCGGGCTTTGTAAGTCATTTAATTTTTAACTAAATCAAACGTTTTTATAGTCTAAAATTAGCTACAAAACATGAACAACATGTAGGAAAAAGAATCAGGTCAATACAACTTAAAATGAATGAGTTATGCACATTTGAACAAAAAAATCATATTACGTTTAATTGCTGAAACAAAATAAAAATTCTGATTTGATATGCTTCATTTCGGGGATTGCAACTCATTCAATTATAACTAAATCAAACGTTTTTATAGTCTAAACTTATCTAAAAAAACTAAACAACATGTAGGAAAAAGATTCAGGTCAATACAACTTAAATGAGCGAGTTATGCACATTTGAACAAAAAAGTCATATCACGTTTAATTGTTGAAATATTAAAAAAAAATCTGATTTGATATGCTTCATTGCGGGGTTTGTAACTAATTCAATTTTTAACTAAATCAAACGTTTTTATAGTCTAAACTTATCTACAAAACCTAAACAACATATAGGAAAAAGATTAAAGTCAATACAACTTAAATTGAGTGAGTTATGCAACTTTCACAATTTGGACAGAATGCTAAAGACATAAATATTGCTAATCTTACTTGGTCATCAATGTATTTTCAAATCCAATTAACCGGATTACCATCTTAATTATTGGCATCATGAACATCCGAGTTTCGGTATCTTGATGATGGTACACTTGGTAACCCATTCAAATCATATATTGTCAATATCATACATTAATTATATAACTAAACAAATTCTTAGTTTTGACAATCTTACATTCATACTACAAACAAATCTAACAAAAATCTTGCATGCATGTCTACAAACTACAAAGTACATTTGGTAACTCATTCAAATCCTACATTGTTAATATCATACATTAATTATATAACTAAACAAATTCTTAGTTTTCACAATCTTACATTCATACTACAAACTAGTCTAACAAAAATCTTGCATGCATGTCTACAAACTACAAAGTATATTGTTAAATGGAACTTAAAACATGAAATACAAATGTATAATCTTACTTGATCTTCATGAGCATCCATAGTTCGAATTATTGAAAGTGATTGTTGAGAAGTTGATGGTTGTAGACTACTTTTTCCACCTTTTAACATTGCTTATTGATGGTTGAGATCTAGAAGATGATAAATGATGGTGGATCGGTGGATAATAGATGTTGATTTAAGATGAAGAGCACATGATGATGGAAGCAAAATATGAAGATGTCGACTTGAGAATTGAGATGATGACCCGGTGGTTGAACAATCTAATTGATGATCAAATAATCAAGGACTCGGTAGGCAATTAACGACATATGGAGATGTCGACCAATCTACTTGATCGATTTGAGATGATGACCGGGTAGGGTTCCATTAACGAGACATGCCACATTTTTTTTTTGAGGTCTAATTTGGAAGTCCAAAAGACGTGGGTTTTTTTTTAAAAGCTTGTCCGGTTCGGTTCCCGGTTTTGGGCCGGTTCCAATGACCGGTTCCAAAATCGACAATAATATAGTATCCGTCCCGACCCTACTAGTTTCATCGGGTTTCGGTTCCGACCGGTTCTCTGGTTCATATGCTCATCCCTAGGCGTCAGGGCGTCTTTGTAGTTTTAATTTATTTTATTTTAAAAAAGTTGATACAACCATTTTTGTTTAAATTTTTTAATAAACGATCATCACTTTGACTGTCGGACTCCGACTACGAAAAGATCCAACACCCCGCGCTTCAATCGACAAACTGATAACCCAAGGCATCACAACCGTTCATTGTTGTCTCCTTTCCATGCCATGTCATCCATCCGCGTGAGAGCCCCAGCCTCCAATAGAATCGCATTTATCTGTCTTATATAACCTCCGTGCGAAACTATTTCTTCAACAAACGCAATCAATCGAATTCCCCCAAATTTCAAACCCTAGAATTTTCGTTTTCGTTCCCAATCTCCCAACAAAAATCTGATGGCTCCCAAGGCAGAGAAGAAGCCCGCCGAGAAGAAACCAGCGGAAGAAAAGAAGGCCGTGGCCGAGAAAGCACCAGCGGAGAAGAAGCCAAAGGCCGGGAAGAAATTGCCTAAAGAAGCAGGCGCTGCCGCCGGAGACAAGAAAAAGAAGAGATCCAAGAAGAGCGTCGAGACCTACAAGATTTACATATTCAAGGTGTTGAAACAGGTGCATCCTGATATCGGAATCTCAAGCAAAGCCATGGGAATCATGAACAGTTTCATCAACGATATATTTGAGAAGCTCGCCCAGGAGAGTTCGAGGCTTGCAAGGTACAACAAGAAGCCGACGATCACGTCAAGGGAAATTCAAACCGCCGTGAGGCTTGTACTTCCCGGTGAATTGGCCAAGCACGCCGTGTCGGAAGGCACAAAAGCGGTGACAAAATTCACCAGCTCTTGAATAGCGTTTCATTGAAACATGGCAGCGTTAGGGTTTCTCAACTTTTATCATCATGTATTAGCGATCAAATGTCGTTTTTCTTTTTGTCTCTAGGAGGAATATAAGTTTGTAAATTTGGATTATCTTGATCCGATTTGTGTTTTTACATTATCTGTGTAATGAAATGCGAATTTAAGATATCGCAACATTCAATCTATAATGGCATATCTTTTGTATAGAACATTTGACTCATACAAATATCATCACTCATTCAGCCATTATTACTCATGTATAAGTTTGTTTTGGGTAATTGGGTCGGATTAGTAAGAAACAAAACACCTGTTTACTTTGAAGTTTGAATCAATTTCAGTTCTTAAGAAACACACTTTTACAACCAACATAACTGCACTTGATCTCTAACTAAGGAAGTTAATTCATGTCAAACACCAGACCTGACATTGTTGATGTTATTTCTTGTTTGCATAATTGATCCGAATATTTCTACCATCCAGTAGCTGAAAAGAAGCATTACAAACCAATAAAATGAATATGAAATGATGTTTTGGTTACATTTGAAGAAAATGTTTTTGTTTATGATTCTAATGTTTTTTTTTACCTGACCATGCATTTCTGCTAAGGCTTTGGTGGCAGACTCCTCAGAAACAAAATGCACAAATCCATATCCTTTTGATTTCCCACTCTTGTGATCGCATATAACCTTAACTGCAATGCAATCAATCATGGAAGTTAAAACTTTTTATAAGAAGATCAGACAGACACACAGCAGCTAGTGAGTTGTGATCATGTGAGTACCTTCAATTAATTCTCCATGCTGCTCAAATACATGTTTTAACACTGGTTCATGTGTATCATACGAAAGCCCTGTGTGCATACATATACTTTTATTACCATGAATCAATAACCCAAGGCTACTATAATAAACATGATGAGTTCTTAAATTGTCTAGGGTTTAGAATGAAGATGAACAAATTCACGAAAAGCAAAAAAATTAGGAGTGGATTTGAGAAGCATAGCAAACATCAAAAGATGCAAACAAAATAATTTTTCTTTTGCTTTTTGTGAATTTGTTCATCTGAATAGAGAAAAAGTGGGAAGAGATACCTCCGACAAACAGTTTGCTGGAGGAGTGACGACATAACATCCATCTGAATCTGAATATTGGAGATGAAGAAAGCCGAAAAACCCCATTTGCCCACATATTTGTTTTGCTGTTTTCAACAATATGTATGTGTTATGCTTGATGATGACAATGACCATTTTAACCTTCGGCTTTATTGCTTAAGACTTAAACTCAAACAAATGACAAGTCAATTCAAGAACAATTTCACCATACTACATTTAAAAGTTGTCATTGCTCCATCTATATAATAAGTTCATCACTCTCTTTGATTCCTTGTAACAAATTATATGAATTCCCATTACAATTGAATGTAGTGAAACTATGAGTATGATCACTTTAGTGAAAAAAAGTCATAAATTTGTTATATGAATTCCAATTACAATTGAATGTAGTGAAACTATGAGTATGATCACTTTAGTGAAAAAAAGTCATAAATTTGTTGGTTCTAACTTTTGGAAAGACCATGAATTACTACAAGATGATGTTTCTTCAAAAAGATTTGAGAAGACCTAATTTTTGCCACCAATAACTGCTATAGTTGTCTTCACTGACATCTGTATGATTGACCCACAATATTGTGGTTTTCATCATAGACCATTAAAAAAGTTTACTCTTTTGATTCATCATTGCAGTTGATGTCCTGAATATTAATTCCGGAAATAAAATACAGAGGGAACAATCAGCTTACATATGAACTTAATTTCTTGAGGTTGAATCTCCAACAACTCCGTGTTCATCTTTCCATCGAAAATTCAAACATAATCAGATAGATATATCAAAAGCCCGGTCTGGGAATCAGAAATTGCAATCATACCAAAACTCCAGTCAATGTAAGAACCACGAAACACACACTAAAAACTATGATAGAGTAATACTAGCTCTGATTTGATCCATTATTTACCAAAACCAGTTGAAATTTCGAAGAAAACCCTAATTAACCACTGAAATCGTCCTGTGTTTCAATTTACCGACGAAAAATACGGAAACAGAGCATAGTAGGGAAAAGCTAATTAAAGAGCACATTAAGCTAATAAGAATCACCTGAAATAGCAAGAAATAGAACGAATTAGGAGACGATTACAGAGGCGATGATAGTAAGGGTTGCTGACGGGAGTCGTTGGGTGCTGTCGCCGGAGATGATGGTGAGGGTTGGCTGATATGCTGTGATGGAAGGAGAAAGGACATATGCGATTGTAGAGGGCAAAGATGGGTATTTCAACCATTCAGCGTCCACCCTGCAGGCCTCCTGCATCTATGAAATATGAATAAAGGTGGGCAAACCGGTTTTCTTTCACATACGGGATCGGTTTTTAAACCGGTTTGTATCAAGTCACACGATTCGAAACGGATTACCTTTAGACCGGAAAAAACCGATCCTATACGAACCGGGTCAAATCGGTTTGAAAAAAACCCCAAGTTATATATATATATATATATATATATATACACCGATCCATTTCATTGTGAATAATATAGTTCAAAATATGTCGATGGAAGGCAAACGGATAACAAGCTGCGCCGCTAGCCCTTTCTGAATGACAAAACTAATTTTTTTGAAAACAACATCTGTGGATCTAAGATATATGACATTAGAATGCATGACCCGTTGGACTCTGTTGATGAGTTTCACCGCCTCTGGTGCGAGAAAATCAAATATATCAAATGCAAACACTAGTTGATTTTCTATATATGCATTCTCGTGTTTTGCCACTTTGCACGCAACGGTTTTCAAAGCGGCATGCCCTGTTGTGAAACTCCCGCTCCTCAAACCAACGAGAGGAGAGACCACAGTAAGATCCACACACACGTGCGTCCCTCCTACCCATCTAAAGACCAAAATGTTAGTCGGTCTAAGTGTGGATCTTCCATCATAGAGGGTCCGTCAAAAAGTTAACTGACGCTTTTTTCTTCGCAGAAATACCAACCCGCCGACAAGCATCAAAGAGAACATCCATAACCACATCATGTCTGTACTTGAAACCAGAGAGCTCTCTAGAATGAACCGCATGTTCCCCAAAGTTGTCAAAACATGCATTGCGGCAAACTAGACATATATCGTCAATTGGGAATAGAGGAATCATGAGGTGGTAACAAAGGATAGTTCGGTACTCCACATGAAACATATGTTGACCAAGGTCATCAATATGGATAGTTAGCAGAAAATCCAGAGCATGATGTGCCCGAAGACACTCAAAAACAATTTTATCTAACAGTCATGTCGAAGTCGACTTCCATATCTTTGACGATCTTGCTAAAAATGACACACGCCAATGCTTTTTGGGATTTAGGGGAGGCGGTGAAAAATTGGGCTTATTCAAGGTGATGTTCAATTTGGAAAAAAAATTATCAAAATTGAAAAAATAAACTAATTTATGTTAAAATTGAAAAAAAAAATAAATAAAAATTTAAGGGGTAATTGGGTTGAACGGTTTATAGAAAATCTTATAAAAAAAAAATAAATAAAAAATTATCAAAATTGAAAAAATCAACTAAGTTTATAGAAAATCTTGTAATTTATTCCTTTCTACACGCATAAATAATAGCAATGAATATCTTATGTTTTCTTAGGCAACGCCTCCAATTCGCCACAAAACTGATGATCTCCGAGACCGAGTTGAAATTTTGAGAGGGTATGCCACATAATTCGAGGATCCAAAACAATACCTCTAGAATAAAATGATAACTTGTCAATAAATGATCGCTGAAGTGAACACCTTCGGACAAAAAATACAAAGGCTAGAGGATACGATCCATATGGGCATCAGGGCATCTTTGTAGTTTTATTTTATTTATATTAAAAAAATTGATACGGCCAATCAGCCATTTTTGTTTAAATTTTAATAAACGATCATCACAACCGTTCAGTGTTGTCTCCTTTTCATGCCATGTCATCCATCCGCGTGACAGCCAAGCCTCCAATACAATCGCATTTATCTGTCTTATATAACCTCCGTGCGAAACTATTTCTTCAACAAACGCAATCAATCGAATTCCCCCAAATTTGAAACCCTAGAATTTTCGTTTTCTTTCTCAATCTCCCAAAAATCTGATGGCTCCCAAGGCAGAGAAGAAGCCCGCCGAGAAGAAACCAGCGGAAGAAAAGAAAGCCGTGGCCGAGAAAGCGCCAGCGGAGAAGAAGCCAAAGGCCGGGAAGAAATTGCCTAAGGAAGCAGGCGCTGCCGCCGGAGACAAGAAAAAGAAGAGATCCAAGAAGAGCGTCGAAACCTACAAGATTTACATCTTCAAGGTGTTGAAACAGGTGCATCCTGATATCGGAATCTCAAGCAAAGCCATGGGAATCATGAACAGTTTCATCAACGATATATTTGAGAAGCTCGCCCAGGAGAGTTCGAGGCTTGCGAGGTACAACAAGAAGCCGACGATCACGTCAAGGGAAATTCAAACCGCCGTGAGGCTTGTACTTCCCGGTGAATTGGCCAAGCACGCCGTGTCGGAAGGCACAAAAGCGGTGACAAAATTCACCAGCTCTTGAATAGCGTTTCATTGAAACATGACAGCGTTAGGGTTTCTCAACTTTTATCATCATGTATTAGCGATCAAATGTCGTTTTTCTTTTTGTCTTTAGGAGGAATATGTGTTTGTAAATTTGGTTTATCTTGATCCGATTTGTGTTTTTACAGTATATGTGTAATGAAACGCGTATTTAAGATATCGCAACATTCAATCTACAATGGCATATCTGTTGTATAGAACATTTGACTCATACAAATATAATCACTTATTCAGCCATTATTACTCATGTATAAGTTTTATTTTGGGTAATTGTGTCGGATTAGTAAGAAACAAAACACCTGTTTACTTTGAAATTTGAATCAATTTCTATTCTTAAGAAACACACTTTTACAACCAACATACAAAAGTTTACGTATAACATTCAAAGCTTTAATTGGTAACAAAAAAAACTGCACTTGATCTCTAACTAAGGAAGTTAATTCATGTCAAACACCAGACCTGACATTGTTGATGTTATTTCTTGTTTGCATAATTGATCTGAATATTTCTACCATCCAGTAGCTGAAAAGAAGAATTACAAACCAATAAATGAATATGAAATTGAAATTATGTTTTGGTTACATTTGAAGAAAAGGTTTTTGTGTATGATTCTAATGTGTTTTTTTTACCTGACCATGCATTTCTGCTAAGGCTTTGGTGGCAGACTCCTCAGAAACAAAATGCACAAATCCATATCCTTTTGATTTCCCACTCTTGTGATCGCATATAACCTTAACTGCAATGCAATCAATCATGGAAGTTAAAACTTTTTATAAAAGATCATACAAACATAGAAGCTAGTGAGTTGTGATCATGTGAGTACCTTCAATTAATTCTCCATGCTGCTCAAATACATCTTTTTAACACTGGTTCATGTGTATCATACGTAAGCCCTGTGTGCATACATATACTTTTATTACCATGAATCAATAACCCAAGGCTACTATAATAAACATGATGAGTTCTTAAATTGTCTAGGGTTTAGAATGAAGATGAACAAATTCACGAAAAGCAAAAAAATTAGGAGTGGATTTGAGAAGCATAGCAAACATCAAAAGATGCAAACAAAATAATTTTTCTTTTGCTTTTTGTGAATTTGTTCATCTGAATAGAGAAAAAGTGGGAAGAGATATCTCCGACAAACAGTTTGCTGAAGGAGTGACGACATAACATCCATCTGAATCTGAATATTGGAGATGAAGAAAGCCGATTAACCCATTCGCCCACATATTTATTTCGCTGTTTTCACCTATGTTGTGTTATGCTGAATGATAACAATGACCAATTTAACCTTCTGATTTAATTCTAGGTCTTGATTGCTCAAGACTCGAACTCAATCAAATGACAAATCAATTCAAGAACAATTTCACCATCCTATATTTAAAAGTTGTTATTGTTCCATCTATAACAAGTTCATCACTCTCTTTGATTCCTTGTAACAATTTATATGAATTCCAATTACAATTGAATGTAGTGAAACTATCAGTATGATCACTTTTAGTGAAACAAAGTCATAAATTTGTTGGTTTTAACTTTTTAAAAAAATCATGAATTACTACAAGATGATGTTTCTTCAAAAATGTGTAAAATATTTGACAAGACCTAATTTTTGCCACCAATAACTGTTGTAGTTGTCTTCACTGACATTTGTATGATTGATGACCCACACTATTGTTGTTTTCATCATAAACCATTAAAAAAGTTTACTCTTTTGATTCATCATTGTAGTTGATGTTGTGAATATTAATTCCAGAAAAAAAAATACCGAGGGAACAATCAGCTTACATATGAACTTAATTTCTTGAGGTTGAATCTCCAACAGCTCCGTGTTCATCTTTCCATTGAAACCAGAACCGCCTTCCTGAGTACTCATCACCAAACTGAGCCGAAACCAAACCAGAACCTCCTTCCTGAGTGCTCATCACCAAACTGAAATACATCACGCAAATGAGCAAAACATACCCAAGAATCATCCTCCCACAAGCTTCCTAGATTCTCCAGGACTCTCCTCGATTCGAGTATGGATCATGTGCTTTCAATAGTACGGGCCCAATACTACCTTCCACACCTATCCTTATTTTCCTCAAGAATCGTCCCGAATCCTCCAAGTCACTCTCTCAAACTAATACTCAAAATGCTCACCTATCCGGGTGTTGGCCTGCCCCTTCGGTCTATCTCAATTGGACTGCCGAACATATCTGGTTGCTCGACATGCCAATTCGGTCTATCTTAACTGGATACTGCCGTGCATATCTGGGTGCTCGACATGCCCCTTCGGTCTATCTCAACCGGATACTGCCGAGCATATCTGGGTGCTCGACCTGCCCCTTCGGTCTATCTCAACCAGATACTGGGTCTATTTCACCCCTACCACTACCATATAGTATCATACATAATTCACAGAATCATCAAACGGTACATGTACACCTGATCATTATCACAAAGATAATCATCAGGTAAAATCATAACTAATGGGTCGGCCTTGGTGCCTTCGACCCACGAATTCTACAAAGGGAGACTCACCTCAAACGACAGATAAATCCAACAACTGCTGCAACTGCTAAGAACCGTCTTCCACGAATTGAACCAACAACCAAACCATTCTTTAATAATTAACCATGGCAAAGTGTAAGATCCCAAAATTCAAGACCAAAAATTTCATTTGTAATATAAGAAAACACTTAGTAACTTTGCCCCAAACATTGAAAACATTTCATTTAAAATAAATATCAGAGTCTAATCCCAAAGATCACGTAATGCAGAATAATAAGGGTGAATGCGATGCGATCGTCCCGAGCTCCTTATCCGAAAGCTGAAGGTACCTGAAACCAAAACTGTAAACCGTAAGCACGAAGCTTAGTGAGTTCCCCAAATACCACATACCATACATATCAACTGGGCCATACATGACATACATACTGTGAGCCATACATATCAATCATATACCAAATAAGGTGTTATGTGCCGCACATAGTCTTGCTGTTATGCCACGGGCCGCCACGTGGTCTTTCTTGCCAAGTCGGGGGCCACCCCCTGGGTCTTACATACAAGTGCCAAGAGCCGCTTCCTGGTCTTCCTTGCAAGTATCACAAAGACAATTAGCATACATACTACTCTACTTAGCTAATGAGCATACAGTGTGCCAGGAGCCACCTCCTGGTCTTTCATGCATATTGCCTAGGGCTAACCCCCGGGTCTTCCTATCATACATAATAGCATACTGTGTGCCAGGAGCCACCCCCTGGCCTTTCATATATAGTGCCTAGGGCTAACCCCCGGGTCTTCCTACCATACATAAACTAAATGGGCTGACATTGGTGCCTTAGACCCATACAAACAGTGAGGAGACTCACCTCGCACTGCTGAAGTCCTGCTGATACTCCTCTGGCTGCTAACCGACAATTCCTGGACTGCTGCTCCTTCGGCTCCCCGAGCTATCAGCACCAAAATAACACTTAGACCAAAATGCCCTCAAAAGTCAAACTAAGTCAATCTTGGTCAAAGTCAAAGTCAACGGTAAAAGTCAACGCTCCGAGTTGACTCAACTCGCCAAGTTGCCCCATCAACTCGTCGAGTTCTAAGAATCAGAATCCTGAAATCACGATCCAACTCGTCGAGTCAACCCCTGACTCGCCGAGTTCCCAGGCTACTCATGGTCACGATTTAACGAATCAACTCGCCGAGTTCCTCCATACAGAAAACGGGACAACTCACTTCGACTCGTCGAGTTCCTCCCTAGACTCGGCGAGTCCCTTAGTCTGTTTGGGCTATCTTAATGGATTAAGCCCCTATACTTCAGATCCTAACTCCAAACTTCGAATACACTCTAGAAATGACCTTAGAAGGGGAAAGTTTCCAACTTTACCCATTAATACCCTTGCTTAAAGGATTTTACTCAAACCCTAACTCTTAAGGACCTAGATCTTGGTCCACAAGCCAACCATACACCAAACTAATGCATCCAAACATAGATCTGGACGCAAACATCTCATAACCATGCAAAGCTCCTGCCTTTTTTGAAAGAACCCCTTTCTAAATTTTACAATATTATTCCAAAAATGCTACATGCATATTCATAAACATATTTTACATATATGGTCTTATTACAAAAGACTGGATACAAACCGACTAACGAGGTTTTTACAAAGTTTTATATATTACATAATTTCCCAGGAATTTATACACTAATAAAAAATTTATAACATTATCTATTCTACATCTTCTAACAGTACATAACTATACAGGATGCTTATCACCTACAATAATTAAACACTGAGAGGGATAAGAGGTGACGCTTAGTGAGTTCAATAACAGTTACTATATAACATTATGCCATATATATATATATATATATATATATATATATATATATATATTATGAACAAATTTTCTTTTAATCAAATAAAATTTTATAGTTATGTAAGTAATGTTTAAAGGACTTAGGACTGCTAACTTGCTTTAATTCATTTTCCTTGTTTGGATGTGGCCTTAGGGTATCGGTTATTTGTCCGAATGTCGTCTAAATATTAGTTACATATTATGTATACATATGTAGACATAGAAGTTCTATTAGTCAGTTCAGTACCTTTGGGTAGCAAAGGCACACCTTCATTCAGTCCTATACATACATTACTAGTAACTATAATAGGTATAGTTTAGGAGATACTATTTACTATTCCTAGTACAAGGAATCACACAAGAGTCAGTTCATTCACGAGTCTATACAAATATACTACATACTATATGAAGAGATACTATTACATACTATACGGAGAGAAATACTATATACTATACAAGGAGAATTACTACATACTATACGGGACTGACCATCCTACACCTGGCTGCTAGCTACAGCGGGACCTGTTCATCGACGGATGTTCTCGGTTGTACTGTTCGGCGAGTTACCACGCCGTGTTCATCCTAGACAAAAGGATACGATTTCAATGATTATATAATCTTCCCTATTACTTTTATCTTGTGACACATTCACATAAACGATGAGGTAGACTATAATTTGATAAATATAGTTGTACGTGGGAAAAACCTTCATTCATACAGAGAAGCAAACCTTCAAAGCAGTCGGGTCTTGGTAGAAGACTACTTTTTATACTAGTAGGAAATATGGGATTTTCTAGGGTTTTCATACTTATACAAACTTTTTCATTGAACATTTACAAGTCTTTTCTTTACAGTTTTACAAATCAATGACACTAAAATACTTATGAATTCACAAGCTTAAATGCTGATCTACGCTTTCAAAATAACTTGTATTCTCAGGTCACCAGTAGACAGGTACGATGACCAGGTTTTGAGAAGACGGAGCAGTCAAGACTCGTCTTTTATATTGATTACTTATTATCATGTCTTATTCTATAAAAGAATACACATGTATTAAAATTTTACTATTAATGCAATGGATGATGTTGTTGCTTGTTTACTACTTTGCACTATTGTGATGCTTTACATGACGTCCTCCGCCCCAGAACGTTTCCGCCGTTCTTGGTTTTGGGGTGTGACAGATTGGTATCAGAGCATTGTTTATAGTGAATTGAGTATATCAACCCATAAAAGATATACAGACTATAAATACAATGGGATTAAAATAATCTGAACAAGAGTTTATACTTTTAAATAATAAAATATTTAACTAAGTATACATGCCTGCATTCATACTAAAATCGGTGTCACAATGACAAAAACAAAAGTATTACGATTGTTGAATATCACAAGTAAGCTCGGGGATGTATGGTCAGTCCTGGGAGTGGCATAGACTGATCAACTATGATGGTCCGAGGAGTGATTAGCATATGCCCAAGAATGGTTGTGATATGTCAACAAGTCTAAAAACTTACCAACACTACTACAATGAAGACATTAGGAGTATTTTTGTGTTACTATAATTACTTAGTTGAGAATTAAAGATCCTCATTAGTAGGTCAATAGTTGCTAAGTGGATACACTAAGGTTATATGTAACTGGGATGACATAGACTTAGAATCTGTGAATTTTTGCTTTACCCCCTGTTCCTTGTGAATTTGGAGTTAAGGTCACTTATTCGAAGGCCTATCCTGTTTTGATTACATATAACTGGTATGCACTTTACAAATATTGAAGTAACTGATGAAGATTATCTTATAATTATCTAGATAATACGTCTAGTATTTATTTCTTTATCCCCATTTCTCGCGTAGATAACAATGGTTGGACCCCATCCCCACGACGACCCGTATTTCCCGAACGAAGGCAATGCTGGATGGTTTGGAGAAGAGCCAGAAGATGATCATCCAATCCCTTTGGACGATCACCATGCTGAAGGCTTTTCAGATGGAGCTAACTCCGAGCCTGAGGTTGAGAACCTGCCCCCGGTGGCTCCCAACCCAAATCCTAACCCTCGTCCGACTTTTCAAAGCCCGACGCCCCCTTGGGTAGAATGCTTGGAGACATGGAGCGAAGAACAAGATCAGCCCATGCCATTCAACGGACACCGAAGCTTCTATAACCTGAGCGAGGGAAGCTCAGCAGACAGGGTTCTGCCAATCCTGGTCCGCAGGGTTGCCCGAAATGAAATCCAGGGCAGGACAACTCTCCATCACATCACAGAGGTTGATGCCAATGCAAGAATGCATACCATCCGTACCACCCATCTTGAAGATGCTCGTGAGAGGTCTGGGAGAGACCATGAGGCCCTGCTGCAAGCACTAGCTGAAACTCGAGCCGAAGTCATAGAGTTCCGAGTATGCCAGAGGGTGTACGAAAGACACCTGCTTGATATTGAGCGTCAACTGGCTGAACTAAGGGTTCACCAGAGGGATGACCGTCACCAGTAGGAGATGCTTTATCTTTCCTTCCTTGTTTTAAGGAATCGTTTTCCTG